GGTAGATGGGCTAATAGCCTACATTGCAGGTGAGACTCTTGGCTTCTCCCTGGAGTGGGGCCAGAATTTGGGTTTGCCCTGTTTGTCCACTGGGCTTCCCGGCCCACAACAGCTCCCTTCCCCCAATCCTGTCCTCTCTGTTCTCAAGGAACCAAGACACTGAGTGGCAGCATAGCCCCCATGGATGTCTGCATCCGGCACTTTCTGCAGGCTACAGGTCAGTGGGCTGGTGTTCCTGGGTGTCTAAGGGTATAGGCTATATATGGGGAAAGCAAGAAGGGAGGTAGGATAATTAGAGTTCTGTGCTGACATCCTATAAGTACTTGGAAACTGGGAGGTGAGGAGGCGTGACTTCTGGCAGATGGAAATGACCATGGGCACTCCCAAATAGAGCTCAGGCTATGGAAGAACGGTGAGCAGCCAGTCACTGGAGTCAGGGTGATGAGTGGTGTGAAGCTGGGACCTCATGGAGGAGCAGGGTCACATTGCTTACAGACAGGCCAAGTCCTAGGCCTGTGGGATAGGGGGAATCTGTAGGGGGGCAGTATTGGTGGGGTGGAGTAAAAGTAGCTTTCTAGGGCTTGGAGCAGCTTCTGCAGGGACTCCCCAAATCTCTGGCAGCTCAAGGCTGAGTGCCATTCTGAATGTAGGCAATGTCAGGGTCCTGTTTAGAAAAAATAGACTGGGGATGGCCTGGGACAAAGGAGATAGTTGTATCCTGGCAAGAAGTGATAGAGGAAAGTGAATGTGGCCACTGGGCCTCAGGTTAGGCTCAGAGTTCAGGGTCCCATTTGGCAGCTGGATTGGTGGCACGGTGGGCCCAGGTATGGCTTTTTATGCTAGAAGTAGGTAGGAGGGTCTAACCATACAATACTGAACACCCCTAACGCCCCACATCTAGTCTGTTGGAAGGACAGGTTCTCTGCCAGCTGGGATGATGAGTGGGCTGGAAAAGAGGAGGTGAGCAGTGTCTCCCACAGCTAGGGGAGTGAGGGACCTTCCTAAGCTGCTGCCGAGGCCTGGGCCTTTCCCAGACTCAGTCATTAAAAGCTGAAGGCCAACACCGCTCCTGGGAAGGGCTGTGGATGCTCACCACAGTGTGTTCTGAACAGGCTGTAGTGTGGAGTCGGCTCTGGAAGCTGCAGCCCTCCACCCCGCCCAGCTGCTGGGGCTGGAGAAGACCAAGGGAAGCCTGGACTTTGGTGCTGATGCAGGTGAGCCCCTGTGTAGGGGTGAGTAAAGGCTCGAGGGGGTGGGCCTGTCTATCCCTGCTCCTCGGGGGCCGTTTCCCCCACAGACTCTTACCTGTATTTGCTATGGAGGTCAGGGGACAGCTCACTACAGTTTGTTCTCTCTTCCACCACATGAGTCCTACGGTTCAGACAAAGTCAGGCTTGTAGGCAAGTGCCTTTACCCACTCGGCCCTCTCCTTGCTGGCCCTTATGTGAGTTGTTTTGTTTTTGAGACCAGGTCTTACTGTGTAGCCCTGGCTGGCATGTCGACTACATGAGCCTCAAGTTCATGGTGATCCTCCTACTTCAGCCTCCTGAGTTCTAGGATCACAGACATGTGCCACCATGCTGGCTCTTGGCCTGGCTTTCTGGCAGCTGAGATTAAGCCATGTGAGGGTTACAGAGGTCACTTGTCCCCAACTGTGCTGGGTTGATACTCTTGCTTTCAGCCCCCCTACCAGTCCAAATCATGTTCTTGGGCCTCAGTTTTCCCATTAGGCTAGGTTGTAAGGGATGACTCCACAGTTGGGGTTATAGGTGGCCCTACCCTGTCTCCATTCACCCTCTGCTTCTGCTGCAGACTTTGTGGTGCTCGACGACAGCCTCCATGTCCAGGCCACTTACATCTCGGGTGAACTGGTGTGGCAGGCAGAGGAAGCTGGGCCGTGACTGGGGGTCTTGGCTGGAAAGGACACTTGGCTCCTGCTGGACACTGACAGGCCCGGCAGTCCAGGGAGCTGGTCTCCAGGGAGCAAGCTGGGAGCCCTGCCCTGGGTTTAATGCAGAACCTCAATCACCACTCCTGGAGGGCAGCGGCGTGGATAAATACAGACAGCAGGACTTGCCTTGTTTGTGTTGTGCTTGGAGTTATGCTTATGTTCAGCAGGTCTGTTGGTGTTTCCACTGTTGCCCTGGGACCTTTTTGGATGGGGTTTAGCTTGGATGCTATGTGGGGCCTTCTCTGTAGGTATCTGTTTTGAGGGCTGGAAGTGAATTGGGGGGGTGTTTGGAGGGAAGCCACTGGGTGAGGCCAGAGACAGTAATCATGGATGGCTGACCCGGAGTTAGATGGGCAGAATGGAGGCCATAGCTCTAGGCTCTCTGATGCAACATTCAGGAGTGTGTTTATGCTGGCTTTGGGGCCTAGGGTGACCCAGCAGTGAATGCAGGAATGTGTGCCTTAAGGGCCTCCAATTTGGGCCTAGGACTCCACCCAAGGCTCCCTGACCTGCCAGACCTGCCTAGCACCTTCTTGGATAACCCAAAGTTCTATTCCCTGTGGTATCTTCTTTCAGAGACCCCAATGGCTTTTTTAAGCCCTCCTTCATTCCCATGTTTGGTGGCTGGAGCATACCCTGCCTGGTGCTGATGGGCAGCTCTGGGACTTGTGGCTGTGTCTGCCCTGTTAGCACCACCTGGGCAGGGTATACAAAAGTACCCTAAGCCTGACTTCCTCCCACTTGGGGATTGTGGTTTATCAGGCTCCCTGGAAACTTCACTATACAAGCTTTGGGGATTCTTTTGACTCTAAGGATGGCTGTGATGTGGGAGTATATGCTAGAGGTTGGAGGTCAGGTCTGGGAATGCTTTATACCTTGGTGTGGGAGGTTACAAACAAACAGATGTCACTTCTATATAGGGTCCCATTGAAGGAACTGTTTTCAGGCCAAAGTTTGAAAAAATATTTTAAAAAAGGAAGAAAGAAAGTAAAAACTAGGCAGACAACATAAAACACTCTTAGGCCTCCTACTGTTTGAGAGCAACAGCCTGGGGTGAATAGCAGGGTCATATATGGACCAGCCACAGCCCATTTGTCACTTGGTACACTGTCAGCGCAAGAAAGCCAGCATGATGGCAGCCTGGATGGGAGAGAGGTAAGGAAGGAGACCTGCCGCGTAGACACACCCTTCCACATGACTGACCAGCTCTTGGAGTGGGCCAAGCACAAAGGAAGGGAGAGCATGAGTCACGTGGGGCCGGTCCTCAGGATGCACCAGCCTGTGGAAACGTGCTGCTGCTGGAGGGCCGCACTCCAAGCTCTTCATGAACGTTGACTCATCCCACCCATCTCCCAGCAATCCAAGATAGGCCTACCTGTCTGTCACCTCCATTTCTCAGAGGAGGGAAACAGGCACCGAGTCCTGCAGACCAGGACTCAGTCTGGAGGCCAGAGGTGCGGTTCAGTAGTAGGAGCTTGCCTTAACACACACAAGGTCCTGGGTTCCATTCCTAGTCCCAAACTGGCTCTGACCTGCCCAGATCCAGTTTTACTTGATTTTTGCTGCTGCTTTGGGTAGACAATCAGATGAGTGAATTGTGTGTTGTAGGGCTACCCAGAAAAGATGGGAACTAGCACTGAGAGGGCTTTGAGGTAAAAGAGACTGCAACGGAGGACAGAGGCAAGCAGGTTTGCGTGTTGGTGGAATACAGCTAGGGGATGGCTCCGAAACTGCTGTAGGAACTTGGATTATTTTTATTAAAACAACAACAACAAAGACAGGGCTGGAGAGATAGCTCATTCTTTAAGAGCACTTACTGTTCCTCCAGAGAACCTGTGTTCAAGTGCCAGCACCCATGTCAGCTGGTCTGCAACCACTTGAGACGCAAGCTTCAGGGGATCTGACGCTTCTGGCCTGTGAGGATTACTGCACATCCCTGTACACAGACATGCAAACATACATAGAAATAGTAAAAAAAAAAAAAAGGGGGGGGGTTCTGGAGAGATGGCTCAGAGGTTAAGAGCACTGGCTGCTCTTGCAGAGGTCCTGAGATCAATTCCCAGCAACCACATGGTGGCTCACAACCATCTGTAATGGAATTTGATGTCCTCTTCTGGTGTGCATGAAAAAAAGAGACACTCATGTAAATAAATCTTTTAAAAAAGGAAGGAAGTAGTAAAAAGAAATCTTTAAAAAGTATAAAGTTGTCCAGCATAGTATTGTGTTATCTGTAATTCTCTGGATGGTAGAGGCAGGAAGACTAGGAATTCAAGGGTCACCTCAGCTATATATCAAGTTGGAGGCCAGCCTAGGCTGGAAAGTCTCAGCAGACTGGGGAGGGTCTCAGGTAGCTGAGGCTAGTCTCCAGGTTTATGTGTAGTTGAGGAGAAAGTGGTCCTTTCCCCACCTTCTGAGGGCTGGGTTTCCAGGAGTGCACCACACAGCCTCTGTCTTTGGTGCTGGACTGTGAGTCCTTGTTCATGATAAGCAAGCACTCTCAACTGAGCCATGTCCCCAGACTCCAAATTTACGAGTTCAGCCACTTAAAATTATTTTTTAGCATGCCTTTAATCTCAGCACTTGGGAGGTGGAGGCAGGTGGACTTCTGAGTTCGAGGCCAGGCTAGTCTACATAACAAGTTCCAGGACAGCCAGGGCTATGTAGAGAGACCTTGTCTCGAAAACGTTGTTCATTTATGTGCAGTCAGGTGCCCAAGCAGGCCAGAAGAGAATGTCAGATCCCCTGCCGCTAGAGTTACAGGGAGTGGGTGCTGGGAACTGAACTCGGGTCCTCTTGACCATTGAGCCATCTCTCTGCTTCCTTAACCACTGAAAAGGTTTATCTTTATATAGAAGTGTGTATAGGCATGCACACATGCGTGCGTGTGCCAGTGGAGGCTGGAAGTATGGGCATCTCTTGGGAGCTGTAGTTACAGGCAGTTGAGAGCCGCCTGGTGTGGACGCTGCGAAGTGAACTCTGGTCCTTTATTCGGAGCCAGTTCTACAACCCACCCCAACCACGATTCATTCATTCATTTGTTTAGGTTTTATTTTGCATACATAGGTGTTTTGCTTGCATTCATGCCTGTGCATCATTCAGGTACTGCGGTGCCTTGGAAGGTATTGGATCCCGCCCCCGCCCAGGAACTGAAGTTACAGATGGCTGTTAGCTGCCATTTGGGTTCTGGGAATTGAACCAGGGTCCTCTGGAAGAGCAGCCAGTGCTCTTAACCACGGAGCCGTCTCCAGCTCTACTGTTAGCAGTCTTAAGTGTATAGTTCACTCTTAAGTGTCTAATCACCCATCACCTCCCGAACTATTACTTTCCAGACATACCCTGTCATTGGCATTAGTCCTCTACTCCGACCACACTGCGCCCTGTTGACGGCGCAGAGCTGGAGGGCTATTATTCACAGAAAGGTGTGCTGATTACTTCAGCCTGGGGCTTCTGGGCCACCAGTGCCTCTCCAGCTGCAGGTGATAGTGGTGCCACATTAGGCCTGCCTGTGGTGTGGGTGTGGACTCTGGGACAGCCGCTCCCTGAGTTTAGCTGAGTCACGGTAGTGGCAGGTTACGGAACATGCTGGAAAGCAGAGCAGTGCTCCTGAGACACCTAGAGGCGGCGGCCAGTTATATACCCAGTGTGCCAGAGAGGCAAACGCTTGGGTGCTGTGGAGAGCACGGGTGCCATCTGGAGGCCGGCGCTGGACAGCAGCCTGTGGGGGCTCCCGTGAACTCGGGTTCGAATCCCGAGTCAGACGACTCAATCGGGTCGTTTGTCCTCCAGGGTCAAGGCAAAATGTTCACAAGGCCAACTGATGATTCGTCAGGAGGGGTCCAGGTCTTCTGAGAGAATACCCCCGGCTTGGAGTCAGGTGTGACCGCAGCAACTTTAGCCACTCTGACAGGCGCCCACCACCGAGGGGCGCTTTTGCAAGACCCAAAACTCTGTTCAAACTCGGAGCTGTAGGACACACGCAAAAACCCTTGGACCCAGCTAAAAATACGAATGTAGGCTGAGTCCTCACGCAGAGTAGTTTAGCACGTACGCAGCACCAAACAGAGCAATGCCCGCTGCACCACTGAATCCTCCCCTTCCCTTCAGGACCCTTTGGCCTGCCCTCTGGGGTGCTCACGTGGCGTTTGTAAGGAGTGCAGTGAAGGGCTCCAGGCAGACCTGCCTTTCCCCAGGGTTAGCAGCCAGGGTGCCACGCTTGTTTTCCTGCGCCAGATTGCAGTTTGCTTTTAGTGCTGTTTGGCCATTCTGTTGCGAAACGGAAACTAAGTGGAGGGTTCTCTAGGTGGTACCCTTGTCTGAACAGAGGTCTACAGCCTGCCGCTGGAGCAGTCCGCCTTTCAGCCCCACACCGGCTTTCCGACCTCTCGGCTATGGCTGCGGGAGTGTGTGTGTGCGTGTTGGGGGAACGTTGGCCAGACAAAGTTTTATTTAGCACAGCCTAGCCTCAACTTTGCTGTATGGTTTTGAACTCGTATCCTCCTGCTTCTGCCTCACAAGTATTGGGTTTAAAGACACAGGCTACCACACCAGTTGCGGCTTCATCTTGATGCAGTCAGGAGAAAGCAGACCATAGGTCCGGGACACTTCTGGGCTCCTAATTCCAAAACATCATGAGGCAATATTTGGAGGTAATTTGGTTTTTTTTAAAGAGTTATTATTTATACAGTATTTTGCCTGCATGTATGCCTGCATGCCAGAAAAGGGCACCATTATAGATGGTTATGAGCCACCATGTGGTTGCTGGGAATCGAACTCAGGACCTCTGGAAGAACAGCCAGTGCTCTTAACCTCAGAGCCATCTCTCCAGCCCCTGGAGGTAATTTGTTACACAGCAGAAAGTATTTAAGAGCGCAGAAGAGGCATACTGGTTAAAGTTTCTAGCCTCTGAACCCTTTCCTCACTCATACCATGAGGACTGGTGAAAAGAGTGAAACACTAGGAGCATGGGTAGCTGGTGTTTTGTGCACACTAGACACCTCCCAGCCCCTTCTAAGATGGTTCCCATCACCCTCTTGCCCTTCCGTGACCTCACAGTGTCACCCCAAGCCACTGCATACTTGAAGGGTACTCTGCAGACACAAGAGAGTCTGGGCACAGAAGGGACAGTCAGTCCCTCTCCTTCACCCTGGTACCAATGAACTTCACCAGGCCAGGTAAGACCATTTCCCCTCCTGACCGTTGTCCTGAGCCGGGTAGCCAGGCTCCACTTACACAGGTGCCCTGTCTGCAGAGGTAAGAGGAGCTATGTGGTCAGCTCTGGCTTGGGTCTTGCCGGCTGCCTGCAGGAAAATCCTGGAGACTGAGAACTGCCATCCAGCTTTCTGCTTCCTTCCCTACCCTGCTCCTGTCACCTGTTCAGTTGCCTTTAAAACATTTGTATGTGTGTGTGTGCGTGCTTGTGCACACGAGTGCAGGTACCCTCACGGGTCAGAGGTGTTGGAGTAGAGTTACAGGCATTTGTGAGCTGCCTAATGGGGTGCTGGTAACTGAACCTGGGTCTTCTGCAAGAGTAGCATATGCTTTTAGTTGAGGAGCCTTCTCTGGAACCCAACACCTTTATTTATTTATTTACTTAATTTTAGCCAGCATATGCAACATGCCTGGCTCTTTTTTTTTTTTTTTTTTTTAATGTGGATTTAACTTTTTGTGTGGAATTAGCTTAGGTTCTTGTGTCTGCAAGGCAAGCCTTTTACCAACTAAACTGTTTTCTGGCTCTTCAACTTTTGTTTTAATTTGAATTTTGCATCAGTTTACTGGGAACTGAACTTACAGTTCAGAGGTAGAGCTTTTGACTAGTATGTTCAAGTTCCTAAGTTTGAGTCCCAACACCACAACATGCACAAAAAACTATATACACTAAAAACAAAAACCCATTAAAAAAACAGTCTTTACATGGCGGCTCAGGCCTTTAATCCTAGCGCTCACAAAGAGCTTTATGGATTCAAGCCCAGCCAGGCCTACATAATCAGTTTAGGCTGCCCAAAGCTAGAGAGTTAGTCACTACTTAACCAACAAAGTGCCATGGTGCAGGAGTGGAGGTTATAGGAGAGCCAGTAGCTGCTGGTTCTCTTCTGTGTGGGGTCCCAGGTGAAGCAATCCCAGTCATCATCGGCAGCAGCTTAGCCATCTTGTCAGGCCTTCATACACTTATAGGAGAAGGAAGATCAACTGTATTCCCCCCCCTTTTTCCCCTCTGTGACCAAAGTTGGCTTTGAATTTAAAATTATCCTACCTTAGCTGAGTGCTAAATTAGAAATGTGTCACCACATTTCACTTTTGCTCTTACTAGAAATTGAACCTTGGACCTCATGCACATCAGTCAAGCATTCTGCCATTGAGCTGTGTTGGTGTACTTAAAAAAAAAAAAAAGAAAAAGAAAAGAAAAACTTTTAATTACGTTTCTTATCTTTTTCTCTCTACTCTACCCTAATCCCTTCCATTACCCTAATACCAGTATGAGAAAGAGGGTTAGTGGGAGAGGAGGCACAGTTCTTAGCTGCTTCCTGCTGGTTAGGGTCACTGGGTTCCTAGTCCAACTTCTTGTCTCATAATAGCAACCAGGAGCAGCACCGTTCTTTCTCTTTGATCCACTCTCTGTGGCATTTATTCTTTTTCCAGAGTCCTCAGATTCAACTATCTGCAGCTGGCAAAGAGCTCCTCTCAGAGCCTGCTACTGTTGGCCATCTGAATCAGCCCTATATCTCACACCTGGGACCAAAACAAAACCATGTTTATATCCACAACAGAGCTGTATCTCCCAGAAGCACACCTCACTTTCAGTGGACCTTTAAGAAACATTTTACATGTATGTATGTATGTGTGTGGCATGTGTGCTGCAGCCTATATGTGGTGATTAGAGGACAATTTTTAGAAGTCTGCTCTCTCTCTCCATTGGTCCCAGGGATTGAACTCAGGTCACTGGGCTTGGCAGCAAGTGCACTTAACTACAGAATCACCTTGCTGGCCAGTATTGGATTTAAAGTTGGTTTATTCTTTAACTTGCTTCTTTTTTATTATCTTGAAAAAAATTATTTGAGTTTGACTTTTTGTTGTTGTTGTTTGGTTTCTTGTTTGTTTTGTTTTTGGAGACAGGGCTTCTCTGTGTAGCCCTGGCTGTCCTGGAACTCACTCTGTAGACCAGGCTGGCCTCAAACTCAGAGGTGTTTGCCCATGCTTCCCAGGTGCTGGGGTTAAAGGCGTGTGCCACCATACCTGGCTTGCCTTGCTTCTTTGACTTTCCTCTTTCTTAGAACCTGGCTCTGTTTCTTGTAGTAAGCGCATACTAATCTCCGGAATCAAGAGAAGATTGTTTATATGTGTGTATACCCATCACATGTTTATGTGCATGCATATGGAGGCCTGAAGTGACATTGGGTGTCTTCTTTGATGGCTCCCCATTTTTATTTATTGAGTCAGGATCTCTCAAATGAACCCAGAGCTCACTGATAGGCTGGTATAGCTAGCTAGCCCCAAGAATTTTCCATCTCTACCTCTTGAGTGTTGTTTACCTGGCTATTAAGTGGGTTCACAGGATCCAAACTCTAGTCCTTATGCTTCTGTAATAATGGTTGTACCCACTGAGCCATTTCCTCCTCCCCATTTCATCTCATTTTTATTTTAGTGGTGCCAAGGATTAAATTTAGAGCCTTACACATACTCCAAGCCGTCTACATTGAACTACATCCCAACCCTCATCATTTATCTTACAATTCCTTGTAACAAATAAGCCATTGTTTCTTTATTCTTTTCTGAAAAAAAATTGTTTCTTCTCCCCCTCCTCCTTTTTTTCCAAGACAGCATTTCTCTGGGTAGCCCTGGGTATCCTGGAACTCACACTGTAGACCAGGCTGGCCTTGAACTCAGGGATCTGCCCACCTCTACCTCCTGAGTGCTGGGATTAAAGGCATGTGTCACCACCACCTGGCTTTTTTTTAAAAAGATTTATAGCACTTTTACCCCTCCCTCTTCTCCCTGTAAACCTTCCATGAACCTCACTTTTTGCTCTTTAAATTCGTGGTCTTTTCCTCTCATCTTGGTGCTACCAGGACCAAGGATATTACTGGATAGTAGATCATTTGCCTGGAAGGAACCAGTCTGTAGCCATGATCCTTAGCAACACTAAACTATAGTAAGCTTTGGGGTCACAAATATCCTTCCCCAGTTTACATTTATGAGTGATAGGTTCTGAAATGTGGTGGTGATTTTACTGCCTCAGCTTCCAGAATATTGGAATTATAGAAATTAGTCACCTTGCCCACCTCCATTTTACCAATTTTGATTTGCAACAGCAGTTAAAAGTCCAAATAGCGGGCCTGGAGCAGTGGTTCAGCAATTAAGAGCTGTCTGCTCTTCTTGAGCAGCACCCATAGGACAATTCCCAGCACCCATAGGACAACTTAAAATCCTCTTTTAACTCTACTCTCAGGGGATCTGATGCCATCTTCAGGCCTTCCTGGGCACTGTAACACACAAAGAACTCAGACATACATGCAGGCAAAACACCCACACACATTAAAAAAAAAAAAAAAAAGACCAAATAGTTCTAAAAAGGCTGTGATAAAACTCCCTGTCTTCCTGCTCTGTATGCCCATCTTTCTAAGTGGTGTCTTTACTTCGTGAGTCATCATTTGTGGTTATATATTGCTTTTCTGCTGAACACTCTGCCATAGCTCCAGCCTCATGTCAAGAGAGTCTGATGATTCAGGGTTGAGTCAGTACCTGATCATGTCTGTAAAGATTGAGCACAGCAGGAGAGGCACTGGAAAAAGGCTCAAACTGTGGTTGTGCAGTCTTTTCTATCAGTTTTGTTTTGTTTTGATTTCCTGGAGTTTTCTTTATGTCAGCTTCTCAGATCAACTTTCTATGTGTTTGAGAACCTATCTTTTTAAAGTTTTTTTCTGGGGTACTCTTTAAACCTGCTTGCTTAGGGTCTGATCCTTCCTACCAACAACTTTTAGCATTTCTCCATTTAAACTTATGCCTCCCTGTATACTCCTGCAACTTCACTGACCTAATTTTCTTTCCTCCTTGAGAAATTACCTTATAATATGCTATAAATGTGCTTATTGGGCCAGCTCTCTCCCTCCACTCCTTTATCAGTACTGGAATTCCACAAGGAAAACTTTTTGTTCAACAGGGGAGGGTCAATGATTGTTGAATGGACACATAGGACCAGGGACCTCCCTACACTCTAGTCCTGTGTTTTCTTCACTTCTTTTTTCTTCTGGCTCTCATAACTTTTTTCTTGTTTTTTTCCCTTTATTATATGATTTTTGATGGAACACATCCTTCAGTAAGTTTTTCTGCTGCTCTGTGACGTGCACACATATATGTGTGTGTGTTTATATACACGCATGGGTAAAATGGTAATGAAAACTCCAGCACTTGGGAGGCAGAGGCAGGCAGATCTCTGAGTTTAAGGCCATCTTGTTCTACAGAGTGAGTTCCAGGACAGCCAAGGCTACAACCGAGAAACCCTGTCTTGAAATGAGTATTCGCTATCCATCTTCGGAGGGTGGCTGTAGGGGAAACTAAGGAAGATTAACCATATAAAATGGTTAGTATTGTCTCAAGACAAGCACGACCCAAATAAGATTGAGAGGACTGGGAGTCAGTTGAGCTGCGTTGGCTAAGAGTTGGGCACCAGAGTTGGTAGTTAAGATTTTGAGATCTTTACTTTGTGACCTAACTGTGAAAGAGTGATCTCGCCAGCCTCAATTTACTTGCATGGGTAGTGGGGATGATCATAGTACCTGCTTCTCATGGGCAATCAAAGCTAACACTCTGCTTTTACTGGGTAGCAGGGGTAAAGGATGCAAGCTAAGGATGACAGGCATTCAAAAGTGTATGCTGTCAAGAGCTCTGTCAACCTCAAGCTTGTCTTTGTGTGTTCTAAGGATGAAAGTGTAACCTGGAATATTTTTTTGTGGAACAGGGCAGGCAATTTATCAGCAATGAACTGTGCTTTGACCCACTAATTTCATATGCTACAAATGTATCCAAGAAAGCAAGTAAGGCTATGTCTGGATTTTGTGTAGGACCTGGCTCATGAGAACAAACAAAACTGGAAACTATTTTAATGTTTTGCATGTTAGTATATTAGTAGAGATTTGTCAATATGTGGATCTATAAACATCCCATCTGTATATGGAAATATCCCTCCAATGGAGTTCTCTTCATCTGAGGCAGATGGCATCAGGAGGGCCACGCAGGGCACAGGATGATATAGTTTTGAGTGCAGGATGGGTCAAACTGGCATGGATAGCACGAGGCTTCTGGGTATTAGGGGTATGGTCACCCCTTGTTTTAAATCACCCTCCAACACTGTGAGTGTGTGAATTGTATATGTGAGATGATGTGTGCATGTTTGTGTGTGTGAGTGCAGGTACATATATGGAAGTCAAAAGACGGATTCAGGTGTTGGTCCTTATCTTCCACCTTGTTTGACACAAGGTTTCTTCTTATTGATTGATCTTACTATGTAATCTTGGCTGGCATGGAACTCACTATGAAGACCAGGCTGGCCTCACACTCATAGAAACTTATTATAGGCCTGGAGAAATGGCTCAGAGATTAAGAGCACTTATTCTTGAAGGGCAACCATGTATTGATTCACAACCATCTCCAGTTTCAGGGGGTTTGGTACTCCCTTCTGACCTCTGTGGCCACCAAGAATACATGTGATTCACACAGATGCACACGCAAGAAAAACACACAAAATAAAAAATGAATAAATTAGGTAAAAATTTAAGAAATTCATATTGTGTATGATTGGGATCATACCTGTACTGTGACACTGGTATGGAGATCAAACAACTTTTAGAAGTTAGTTGTCATGTATATTTACTCAGGTTGTTTGGCTTACAGCAAGTATTTTACCTGCTGAGCCATGTCAGGTCTGTTGCTTAGTCTGGGATAACTGGCTTCTGGGGTTCTCTTGTCATAGGAAAACTGATTACAGATGAGCTTAATTATTGCTGGCTTTACACTGGTCATGAAGACCCAAATTCAGGTTTTCATGCCTTTATAGCAAGTACCTTACCCAACTGAGCCATCTCCCTGACTCTGCTGTTTTTAAGGCCTATAAATGTATGTCATTCTGAGAGAATGGATAGATAAGGGCTGTATCCTTAAGGGTTTGTAGTGCTCGTTTTTAAACTCTATTTTGTTTGGGGTATTTAAGCCTCTACTTCCCTTCCACCAATCCTTTAACAAACTTAGGTAAGAGAAAGAAGGTTAGTTGGGAAAGGGGCCACAGATCCCTTTACTTCTGGCAATTTAGGGTTGATGGGTTCGTTTGGGGCTATACCAATCTCCGTCAACAGCAAATGGAGCAAACAGTCTTCGCCAAGCCACCACACCATCCTTCTCTTGTCTCTCCAAACTTCCACACCTTCTCTTTCTGGGCTCTGATATTTATATCCTTCAGAGTCCTAGACCACTCACCTCTGTGTGCTGCAGGAAGCAGGCCTTTACCAGCTGGCAAATACCATGCACCACAGGCGGCAATTATCAGTTGTGGATCAACTAAAGCCCAAACTAAAATTCTACACTTGGGATTAAAACAACATATTTACATAACATAACTGATTTTTTTTTTTGGTAAAGATTTATTTATTTATTATGTGTACAATGTTTTGCCTGCATGTGTGCCTGCAGGCCAGAAGAGGGCACCAGATCTCATTATAGATGGTTGTGAGCCACCATGTATGTAGTTTGCTGCTCTTAACCTCTGAGCCATCTCTCCAGTACCCATAACTGAGTTTTTAAAGAAACTTCCATTACAGGGGTTGACAAAGAGGTTATAGCATGTGGATGCCTAGGACCCAGTTCTGGCTCTGCAAACTGTAAAACTGCTACTCCTATGCTTCACTTTCCTCATCTGAAAATTGGGGCAACAATGTCAGGCATGCTTTAGAATGAGATCTAGGATGAAAAATCCTCACTTAAGAGTCAACATGAGGTTAATATGAAGCTGTTAATGGCCATTACTGCTTGTTTAGCAATTCATTCTGCCTATATGGGATTATGAATTTATCCCATGAGTTCTGGCTCCTCTGTATTATCTAAAAAAATTTTTGAGACAAAATTTTGCTGTATTGCTCAAGGTTGGCCTTGAACTCCTAGACTCAAGTTATTCTCCTGCAAGTTTAGAAGGCTCTACAGGTACACTCTGGCTTTAAACTAGTCTTTGAGTGGGGCAGGTAGTAATATAACCTTTTAGTAACCTACTGAGTCTGGTTAGTGCTGTCTGTGCCTGTGTTTGGGATTTCTGCTTGAGCATGGACAACCTTCCAGTGACCACACCCTCAAAGAAAAATGGCTCTTCCCCAGCGGCCATCAGCTGCCAGTAACTACTCAGATGTGTGTGAGTCTTTGTGAGGCCCTCTCCTATCTATGTTGGAATTTTGACTGATTTGCTCTTGGGCAAGTAACCATGGCTTCTGTGAATTCATCAGTGCCATGGCCATGCCATGTTCAGAAACAGCATTTCTCAGCATTCCTCCCCAGTTTACAACCCTTACATTCTTTTCTTCTCCTCTTTCTCAATGTTTCTTAAGCCTTATTTGGAGAGGGAATCATGCCCTATTTATTTATAGATTTTTGTTTGTTTGTTTTTCAAGACAGGGTTTCTCTGTGTAGCTCTGGCCATCCTGGAACTCAACATATTCAGAGATCCATTTACCTACCGCTGCCTCCTGAGTGCTGGGATCAAAGGCATCTGCTACCACAGCCTGTCTCTAGATGTCTCATTTAAGGCTGAACATGCAGTCATTTTCAGCAGATTTTAAATTACTTAAAAAAAAAAAAGAGACAGGCATCTGCTGGTGAATACCTGTAATTCAAGTACTAGGGAAACTAAGGCAGAAAGATCACAAATTTAAGACAAGCCTTGTCTATATAGTGATATCCAGGCCAGCGGGAACTACACATTGAGACCCTGTCTCAAAAACAAAGGTGGTAAGGGCTAGGGGTGTACTTAGAGACTTCTTTAATTTAGAGATATCTTAGTATGTGTGAGGGGCAAGGCCTGGCGATACTGCTCAGTAAGTTCACCAAGTTACTTATGCGTACACCAAGTTCAGAGTTTGGGTCCTCAGCTCTCATGTAAAAGCTGAGATGGTGGGCCATATCTGTAGTTTCGCCCTTGGGAAAGCACAGACAGGAGGATCACTACATCTTATTGTCTGGCCAGCCATCCTAGAGGAATCAGCCAGCTCTGGGGTGCGGACTTGTATAGGAAGATACCTGATCCCCCCCCCACACACACACAACACACACACACGTGGACATACACTATACACAAAGCACAGAAAGTAAAAAAATATAATAGTAAAAATAAGCTAAAATTGTCAAATTTGTATGCATTTCACATAATTAAAAAAAAAAAAAGCGTTGCCATTAATGACAACTAAAGCACTAAAGCAGGGTGTGGTGGCCTATACCTGTAATTTCAGCAGTCGGGAGGCTGAGACAGGATTGCCCCAAGTATGAGGGTTATACAGTGAGATCCTGTTGGGAAAGGAAATAAAAAGAATAAAAGCGAGCTCACAAAGACAGCCAAAGAGAAAAAACAAAACAAAAAGACACCCACCAAAATACAGGCAAAGGCAGGTTTGTCGGGAGTGACTGTCGGTTTGTTCTCTGCTTCAAATCATAGCCCAGTTTCTTTCCCAGATCCCTCGTGAGCTGTGAATTAAATTCAAGTAGTCCAGGTGTGACCTTGGCCAGCTGGCAGCCGAGCCTCAGTTTACCTGACAGTGAACGCGGATGACAGCTCCGCGCTCCCGACTCGGTCCCTCCCCGCCACCTCGGATTGGCTCGCTCCGTCTCCTTCTACAGGCGCGCCGGGCCCCAATCCGGAAATGCGGCTCCTGGGCGGGGGCGGAGCCCCTGCGGCCCGCGGCGATTGATAGGTATACTGACCAATGAACGAGAGCAGCGGCGACTGCGTCGCGGAAGTCCCACCCAGCGTCGCGCGGGGGCGGGGTGGCGCTGGGGGCGGCAGGCGGCGGGGCGGGCGCAGGATGAGGGCGGCCATTGCTGGGGCTCCGCCGCGGGGAGGAGGACGCTGAGGAGGCGCCGAGCAGCGCAACGCTGCGGGGGAGGCGCCCGCGCCGACGCGGGGCTCATGGCCAGGACCACCAGCCAGCTGGTGAGCGCTCGGCGGCTGTAGGGCGCACCGGTCCGTTACCCGAGAGCGTGGCGGTCGCCCCGGTTCTGCTAGGCGAGGCGGGGCGGCCCGGTGCCGCGGGCCGGGCGGCGCCTCACCTGCGGCTGGGTGGCAGGCAGGATTGTTGGCGCCGGCCGAGGGTGCCTCTCGGCGGGGAGCGCGGGCCCCGGCTCGGGCTGGCGGCGGCAGCCGCGGGCGCTGACAGGGCGCGGAGGGCGGGGGAGGCCGGGAGGTGTCACCCGGCCGGGCGGGGTGGAAGTGCCTGGAAAGTTTGTTTTCGGCTCCGCGCAGCCTGGAACCGAGCCTCTGGGCTTACCTTGAGGTTGTGCCTGCGGAGGAGCAGCCTCTGGCCTTTACCTGGATGAGGATCCTGGGAAGCAGGAGATGTGAGTTCCTGCTTGTACAAGCACCTGGTGCTGGCGGCTTCTTTCCAGATTCTTGGTCAGCGAGGCATTTCGCTGCTCTTCTTGCCTGTCGTTCTATGCTCAGTGAGGTGGAAGCCCCGGGAGGCCGAACTGAGAGGCCCGTGAGGGCAGCCCAAGTTTGACAGGGAGGAGGGGCTTGGGGAGGGCAGGACCACAAAACCAACCACTTGTTGGGTGAAATGTTTCTATTTTCTCTGAGTTTAAAAGTATCCATAGTTGTCTTGTGTTTTCTGTCAAGTTTTATAGTTCTTAGGTCATGGATTCAGCATGCCTACCTTGGATGCAATACGAAGTGGTTGACGGGAGGATGTCAGACGCCTAGCAAAATTTGGTTCGGCAGGCAGACCCCTCCTTGGGCTAGAGCTGTAGTTCAGTGGTAGTAGGCTTGCCTCGAATGTTCAGCGCTCTTGGGTTCGATCCTCACCCTCACCTTCTGCGGGGGTTGGGTGGGGCGGAAAAGGGCTTGCAGGTCTTTTTACTCAGGCAGACCCGAGAAACTCACTTGGTCCGGTATGGTCTAGCATGTGGCTGTGGTAATGGTTTTGAATGTTTTTGGAGGGTTATGAGCCCTTTGAGAATCTGAAAGTATGGTCACCCTTTGAGAAGCATGCACAGCTGCGCAGAATTTTGTTGCTATCGGAGGCTCTTGAACCTTCTACCGCCCATCTGTGGACTTCAAGTTATAACCTTCCGTTGTAGAGATGGGTGATAATTAATCCAAGTTCTAAAAGGAGGAGGACCTATCCAGTTGAGAAAAATGGTGAAAGGCAAAAGGGTATTGCAACATTCGTGTCTTTACCCTGCGGTGCTTGGGCTAGCACGCAAAAACATGAATCGTGGAAGTCAGAGAGGCAGTCTGTGGATGTCTGTGAAGTGAACTTTCACACAGTGATGCTGCTGCAGTGTATAAGATGTGTACTTAATGGTTCCTGTGGGAAGAGGAAAAGAGTGCGTTTTCTCGAATGGTCTTGGCACTTCCATGATGGGCATTTGATGTCTGCAGTTTCCTTCTAATCAGGCAGCTTTTTCAGTGTTAACTTCCTTGAAAACTAGTGAGCAGAAGAGAATTACAGAATCAATGAAAGACTTCTCTGTAAGGAAGAACTGGGCCTTGCATCTCTGTCATCTAGAGTCCCCCGCATCTGAGAATATGCCTTGTTTCCTGATAGGAATGAAGAGATGGTTGCAGGGATGGACTTTTGTCTGGGGACAGGAAAATTTGCATGGGTAAATTGTGTTTGCATTTGAACTTTAACCTAGCAGGCTGACACTGTCTCAATTAACTTTCCTCAAAGCCTTTTCTTTTTCACTTGTAAAGTCAACAGTATGACCTGAGGCTGTGGAAATAGGCCTAGCTCTGTCTGCCTTTCAGGTGGGCCAGAGGTTTTAAGTACTATTTATTAAGCTCTTATTTCAAGGCAGATATTTAGATGTGTACTTTATTCTTATTGTGTTTGAGGTAGATATTGTTCCCATTTAACAGGTAAGGACACTAAAGAGAGGCCAAAGGTCAAGTACATGACTCATAAATAACAGATTGGGTTTTGGCAGAGAACTCAGTGTCACTCTGTCATGTGAAGATCTCCCAAGAGAGCATCTGTCTGTAGGCAGTTTAGCCAAGCACCTAGTGTGAGGAAGTCCTCGGTACCACTGCCCAGGGTGTTTTCTTGGAGCTTGAGCCTCCGAAGTATATAACTGTGCCATATTGGAAGAGGAGGGACATTATATTTACTTGGGGAAATGACCACATTCTCTGACCCCTGGGCCCCATTTCAGTTGTGTCTTGTCAGAAAATACCTGCTTGGAAGAAGCTGAGTGTGATTTACCCTCTTTGAGGGATGGTGCTCTGCTGGGGTGAGGCTTGGAGGTACCCCTTGTTTGGAAAAAAAGATATAGTTTGGTCAGAGGGAGAAATGGGGAGAATTGATGAGAACTTAAAGTGGTTTAGGTTTCCCATGGGTACTGCATCTGTCAGGGAAAGTTAGAAAGCATGAAAAAAAATGGCTTCATATTATTATTATTATTTTAGGCCAGGATCTCATTACATGGCCTCTGGTTGGTCTGGAGCTTGCTATGTGGACCAGGCTGGCCTTGAACTCACAGTGAATCTACCTGCCTGTTTCCTATAAAGGTGTGTGCCACAGTAAGCCCAGGACACATTTCTTTTTTTCTTTTTTCTGTTTTCTTCTTCTTTTTTTTCTTTTTTTTTTTTTTTTTTTTTTTTGAGACAAGGTTTCTTTGTGTAGCCTTGGGTGTCCTAGAACTCACTCTGTGGACCAGGCTGGCCTGGAACTCACAGAGATCTGCCTATCTCTGCTTCCCATGTGCTGGGCTAAAAGGTGTGAGCCGCCATCTCCCAGCTTGCTTGCTTGTTTATTTATTTACTTATTTATTTATATTGTATATTCGTTGGTATTTTGCCTGCATTGTGTTTATGCCCGTGTTATTGTGTCAGATACCCTGGAACTGATAGTTACAGACAGTTGTGAGCTACCATGTGAGAACTGAACCCGGGTCCTCTTAAAGAGCTCTTAACCACTGAGCCATCTCTCCAGCCACCCCCTTTTTAAAGATTTATTTTTTTAGCTGGGTGATGGTGGTGCCTGCCTTTTATCCCCTCTGCCAAAAGACAGAGGCAGGTGGGTCTCTGAGCCCCAGGCCAGCCTGGTCTACAAAGTGAGTGCCAGGATAGCCAGGGCTATACAGAGAAACCCTGACTAAAAAAAACAAAACAAAATGAAACAAGGTTATTTTTATATTTTGTGTATGGATGCATATGTGTGTGTTGCATCACGAGTGTGCAGTGTCCTTGGAGGCCAGAAGAGGGTATAATAGCCTCTGGAACTGTAGTTAGAACTGTAGTTACAGATGATTGATAACCACCATGTGTATGCTGGGAACCTGGCTCTGTCCTCTGAAAGAGTAAAAAGTGCTTTTAACTGCAGAGCCTTTTCCCCGTCTCATCGTATTATAGTTTTTGAGCTTGCTCTTATGTGTTCTTCCTGTCATAGAAGAGGAAGCTACTCATAAGAGAGGAAAGCTTATTTTATTCAAAAAAGATATTTATTTTCTTGTATGTGTCTGTGTATCTGTGAGTAAATCCCATGTGTGCATGGTTGCCTCAAAGGCCAGGAGAGGGTCTCAGATCTCCTGGAGCTCGAGTTAGTTACTGGTGGGTATGTAAAGCCACATGATCCATAGGTGCCAGGAACCAAATTTGAGTCCCAAGACAAAGCAGGAAGTATTCTTGACATTTGAGTACTTTTAAAAAACTTTTTCTGACAAAGATTTTATGAGAAGGATGGTGTCTTAGTTAGCAGCTGTCTGCAGAGATAGAGGGCTGAAGGCAGGTCTTGGCCTCTAGGCTGCTTTCAGTACGGTTTTGGGGAAGAGGAACAGGTGGCTCCTGGGGACATGTGTCTCCCTTTTCAGCCTGTGTCCTCATCTTCTGAGCCACTTGAGCTGGAGTTGAGGTGCTCCTAGGCAGCTTATTGACCCTGGTAGGAATCGGAGGTGGGCACGTAAGTGCTTTAGGTGCTGCAGAGATGAGGCTCTCTAAGGTGCCCTCAGCACATGCACAGGGAATCCTGGGTGGGTTTTCAGTTCTGTGAGGAGAGCAAGTCATTGCAGAGGAACACTGGTACAGAAATGACTCCCTCAGCAGGTGCAAGTGTGCTGCAGGCCTGACTGTGGGATGACAGGTGCCAATGGGGGTATGCAGTGCAGTTGTTTTGAAGGCAGGTTCAAAAGGCGATACAAATGGCGGAGGAAGTGTTGTGTGGAAACTGTAAGTTTGGGACATATATCGGTCAGATCATCTCAGTCATGCGTTTTTCTGTGACTGGATCACATTGTTCACTTGTTTGGGGTGATGCCAGATCTTTTTAAAGTTACTTGAATGTTGTGAACAGGTTGAATGTTCAGCTCAAAGGCAGTGTGAGCATTTTCTTAGAGTCGTAGTGGTGTGTTCTCTCTGTGAAGAGAAAGGGCTGTTTGGTATAGTGATGGCTGGCTTTGGTACCTGACCTTTTGTTGCATTTATACAATCATTGAAAGTCTGTTGTTAATCCAGAATTTTTCCTTGATGTTAAAGTTTTGGTTTTTTTTTCACTTTAAAAAATTGCAAGTTGTTTTAAATATGTTAAGAATGATACTTAGGTGCTGGGTGTGGTGGTGAAAGCCTTTAATCCCAGCACTTTAGGGAAGCAGAGTCAGGCAGATTGCTTTGAGTTGGAGGCCAGACTGGTCTACAAAGCGAGCCTAGTACAGCCAAGGCTTCACAGAGAAATTCTATCTCAAACAAAACAAAACAACAACAAAAGCTCAAAAAGCACTTAAAGAGCTAGAGAGATGTCTCTGCATTTAAAAACATTGGCTACACTTCAGGGGACCTGGGTTTGACTTCCAGCACCCACATGGCAGCTCACAATCATCTGGGGGTCCAAAGCCCTGTTCTGCCTCCTTGGACACCAGGAACACGTTAGACAGACTTAACATGTAGGCAAAATGCCCATACACATAGAAAAGAAAACATTTTTTTAAATTTACTTACTATGT